ATTGGGAAAAGTGTAGTTTTATCAGCTATTCCACATAGAATCTATACCGGTGATCTTTATTATATAAGGTAATAATATTATATTAAATAAATCCTCTAATTATCTTACTCTTGAAACTGTGCATTTGTCTCATTCTCTCGAAACTTAGATTTTTGAAGGTTTCCCTTTTATCACGTGTTTTTTAAAGGGAACTTAACATTTTTTTCTGGAACATTTGATTCCTTTTTTTATTTTGCGTAAAAAATTATAAGTGATGTCGTCAAAATGCCAATATTTTACGAAATATTTGAAGTTTTATATCAGTAGTTTATTTTATTACATTCATTTGAATTGAATACATGAAATAGCAGTACATTGTTATTTGCTCCTTTAAATAATCGACTAATATTAAAGGACGTGAATACACATCCATATCGTTATTCGATAGGACACACTAACGTAATTACAGTAACGTAATTACGTGAAATTAAATTTTTCAAGGTTTTGCAATTTCCAGTGCTTTATTGTGCTTTTAGTGTTTTATTAAAACTCTTCTATTAAAATAAGTACATGTAAGTATTATCATATCTTGTCACATAATTATTATATTATTATATCATTATAACAGGAATGAAGCGTTGTGGTCTAGTATACTTTCCAGATGCCACCAAAAAAATCCAACTCTAATAATGAGCGGTGCAGAGAGGCACGACGCGGACATGTCAAAAGATCTCATCATTCGGCAGAACAAATCACAGCAAGGAATGCGGTTTAAAGAGTCAGGATAGCAGAGCGTCGGGCACACAAGTCCCAAGAACAGTGTGACGAACATCTGCGACAAACTATTGCGAGAACAAGAGCGCACGTGGACAAAACATAGTTAGAGCCCGAGAACAAGAACGACAGAGACAGCGGACCAGACTCTCATTAACACGTGCATCAATTGCTCGTCTTGCTTTCGAGTATGCACCAGATATTGATTACTCTGTGCATTCAAAAATTGCTATCGGTACAATGGATAAGGTTTATCAATATTGTCAGGCATTGAAATTTCAGAAAGAAACATCCGGCATGTGCTGCGCATCAGAAAAAGTTTTACTGTCACCTCTAAACACTCCGCCGGAACTTTTGTTATCGCTTCTTGCTGGCGATTCAAATGATTCGAAATTATTATTGCGCAAGATACGCAAATTTAATTCTTTCTTCCGAATGACGTCATTTGAGACAACTAAAATCTGCGATCTCGCCTCCCATGGACGTAATTTTGAAACTACATTCAAAATACAAGGCCAGGTGTACCATAAAATTGGGTCATTGATGCAGATGCCTGATGATGATCCGAAGTTTCTCTAAATTTATTTTATTGGCAATTGTTATTTTTGGAGAATTTCTTAGAAGATCAGAATCAACTCATTTATTTGATTAAAAGAGTTTCACCACAATTGCAAAATGACAACTATCAAGTCATCATCAAAGTCGACAAGGTACCATTAGGAGAACATGCTGGCAGATTTAACGCTCCAATTGTTGATGAGGTTGCTGTTATTATGGTTGGTGATCCAGTGGACAATAGACAATAGAGCTATAAAAATTACAGGGCAGGACAATACTGTCAGTACAATTTCGGATCTACACCGTTCATATGACGCACTGCAATATCCATTAATATTTCAGCAAGGAAAGGATGAATATCACCTCAACATCAAACAGTGTGATCAAAATAACAGTAAATTTAACAATTAATTATTTATTTTCTCACTCTATGTATAAATTTTAATTCTTCCTTTTTTTTCTTTCTTATTCTTTAAAGGTGATACAGTAGATAAGAAAGTTAGTTTAATGAACAACTGCGCACATTGATTGATGATTAGACATAACCAGGAAAACTATATCCTTCGATATCGTCAGCTATTCCATCAATACATTGTGGATACGTATGCTAAGATTGAAAGTGAGCTCTTGCGATTCATTCGATACAACCTGGCTAAATTACGATCGGATGAATACATTTACTTACGAGATGCTGTTCTCAGAAACATCGACGGAAATCTAAATCCCAATGACATCAGTAATGCTTTCATTTTACCTTCAAGCTACATCAGCAGTCCACGGAACATGCAGGAATACATACATGATACGATTACTTACGTACGTCATTACAGTAGACCAGATTTGTTTATTACATTTACATGTAATCCGAATTAGAAAGAAATACAAACTCTTCAATTACCAGGACAACAAGCAATTCATCGTCATGAAATAACTGCACGTGTATTCAAACAAAAACCGAGATCCTTTATTGATTTCATTGTTATATATTCAGTTTTTAATAACACACATTGTAGCCTATATTCAGTGGAGTGGCAAAAGCGAGGTTTGCCTCACGCCCACATTTTAAATTAGCTTCAAGATAAAATCTGTCCAGAAGAAATTGATCAAATAATTTCAGCTGAAATTTCAGACCGGTTACCTTGATTCACGGACCGTGCGGGGCTTACAATATTATGACACCATGCATGGAAAATGGAAAATGTAAGAAGAGTTTCCCAAAGCCGCATACGAATGACACTATCACGGATACCCACATAACACGATAAGTTTTGAAATCTTTCAACGAAAGTCAGTTTCAGAAATCTTGCAGGCATTCTTCTAAAATATTTGGAAAAAGATTCATAAAAGATTTTACAAAAATATTTTAAAAACATTTCTAAAATATTTTACTGATAGAATAATCTTTTGCAAGTCTCTTAATGCGGACATTTTCACCTTGTAGAAAGATTTTTTAGAAACCTTTATTAAAGGCTTAAAGCTTTTCAACAAATGTTTTAGAAAGTTTTTTATTATTGAAAAGATTACAATTAGATTTACAAAAAATTTTAAAGAAATGAATAAAAAATACTTTTGAAAAACATTCTGCAATATTTAATGAAATATTTTATTAATAATCTTACAAACTTTCTTGAAATATTGTGTGATATCTATGCAAAAGGTTTCTATAAGGTTTCATTGTATTTTATTTTCATCAAGATTTTGCGAAAAATTATATTTTTTCGAAATATTTCAGAAATATTTGTAGAACATATCGCAAGAGATTTCAAGAAAGTTTTCAAAAATGTTCTAAGAAATATTATTAAAAAGATTACAACAAGATTTATAAAACGTTTTGAAAAAATAATTAAAAGAAAACTTTTAAAACCTTTCTGCAACATTTAATGAGATATTTTTAATAATATTCTTACAAACTTTCTTGACATATTTTATAAAATCTTTTTGCAAGATTTCTGCTAGGTTTCATAGAAATATTTTTAATCATTTTAACTACTCTCAGTAAAATATTTTAGAAATGTTTTAAAAATATTTTTGTAAAATCTTTTATGAATCTTTTTCAAAATATTTTAGTATAATGCCTGGAAGGTTTCTGAAAGATTTTTTGGAAATATTTAACGAAAATTCTCGCTGAAAGATTTCAAAACTTATCGTGTTATGTGGGTACTTTCAAAAACATATGAGGCTTATATCACTGTCGAGCTTTGCACTTCCGTAAAATCAATTAAGTCAATTTGTAAATATGTAAATAAAAGCAGTGACTTGGCCATATTTGAAGTACAAAGCATAAATAAAAATGATGAAATAACACGATACCGAATGGGTAGATACATCAGCAGCAACGAAGATATTTGGCATATTCTTAGCTTTCCCATACACGAAAGAGATCCTTCTCTCCAGCATCTAGCAATACATCTTGAAAACGGTCAATGTGTATACTTCACTGATGAAAATATTCTTTAAAGAACGCATGAGGCTCCAAAAACGACACTAACTGATTATTTTACATTTTGTCAAAAACCTGATATTTTCGGCCGATTCGCAAAGATATCATTATATACTGATGTTCCCCGCTATTTCACATGGAACAAATCAGGTAAAAAATGGGAGCCACGGAAATAAGGAAAACCATATCCTTCCATTACAGGCATATTCAAAGCTAAAACATTTGGACGACTTTACACGGTACATCCAAAAAAACGTGAGTGCTTCTATTTACATTTGTTATTGATTAATGTTCCCGGACCAACGTCTTTTGAATTTTTGCGAACAATTAATGGCTGAGTATTCAATACATACCAAGATGTATGTCGCGAATTGCAATTGCTAGAAGACGATAACCATTGGGTCTTAACGCTTGCCGATACTGCGTTGACATCAATGCCAAATACCATTCGTCAACTGTTTGCAATTATTTTGACGACGTGTTATCCATCGCAATTACTCACTTTGTGGAAGAAATATAAAAATTGCATGACGGAAGACATATTGTACCGAAGTAAACAAACAGATCAATGCCGAAATATAGATTACACGCCAGAGATGTATAATGAAGCGTTAGTGTTAATCGAGGATTTATGTATATTAATTTCCAATTTACCACTTAATTATTATGGTATGCCATCACCTGATCGCCAAGCCACCGACTTAGTCTACACCGACTTACAGCGAGAACAACAATATGACCATGGTAATTTACCAACAATTATCGCAATCAGTGTGCCATTACTGACAGCTGAACAAAAATTTATTTATGATTGGATTATGCTTATTGTTGCTGCTGAACAAGGCGGTTTTTTTTTCTTGGGCGCACCAGGTGGAACAGGTAAGACATTTTTATTATCGTTGATTCTTGCAAAGATACGGTCAAAACAGAAAATCGCATTAGCAGTTGCATCGTCAGGCATTGCGGCTACTGTGGTAGATGGTGGGCGAACGGCACATTCAATATGCAAGCTGCCATTTGATATTCATAATAAACCAAATGCAATATGTAACATAAAAAAAAAGAGCGGAGTAGCTGCAGTGTTGCGAAAGAGTTTAATTATAGTTTGGGATGAGTGCACAATGGCTAACAAATATTCACTCGAAGCATTGCACATGAAAGATTCGAAAGGCAACTAACTGAGATTGACGCATGTTTGAAACAGTCGTTCTTACGGCGAAGTGTTGAAACACTTCGATTGACTATAAACATGCGCGCAAAGTTGCAAAATGATCCATCAGCAAAAATATTTTCCGAACAATTACTAGATATTAGGAATAGTAGAATAGAACTGCAACCAAATACGCAATGCATTAAATTGCCAGACAATTTCTGCACTGTTGTTCACGGAAAAAATGAATTGATTCAGAGTATTTTCCTGGACATACAAAATAATTATTTAAATCATAACTGGCTCAGTATTTGGGCTATTTTGGCAGCAAAAAATGTTGATGTTGACGAAATTAACTCCCAGATATAACAATTGTTGCCAGGCGATCTGATGTCTTTTAAATCAATCGATACTGTTGTTGATGAAAATGAAAGTGTAAGTTTTTCAGTTAAATTTTTAAATTCACTAGATATACCCGGAATGCTACCATATAATCTTCGATTGAAGAATGATACACCTATTATTCTACTGCGTAATTTGAATCCATCTCGATTATACAACGGTACACGTTTGGTCATCAACAAGATCATCGGAAATATTCTTGAAGCAACCATTTTAACTGGAAAGATTAAAGGAGAAGTGGTCCTGTTGCCACGTATTTCAAAATCGTCAGAACTTACGATACCCTTCAGAAGGCTACAGTTTCCCATTCGTTTAGCTTTTGCAATGTCTATAAATAAGTCTTAATGACAAACAATGTCAATGTTTGGTTTAGATTTGGAAAGTCCATGTTTATCTCATGGGCAATTATATGTTGCATGCTCACGTGTCGGAAAACCGTCGAATCTATATGTGTTAGCTAAAGATAGGTTAACCAAGAATATTGTCACGGATAACTGCTGAATTAAATTGAAATTGAAAATATTTATACTTCAAAATAATATATATTATTGTTAACTAGGAATTATCTACCCTACTTACCTCATTTATAAATTTATGTGTTACATGTTATCAACTAAAAACTTTGTAATTTACTCATTTGCTATAAACCTAAATAAAAAAATTCTAAAAATTTAAAATTCATTATTTTTATTGATTGGTGCCTAATATCAACTTAATGAAAATTTTTATCAATCGTTTTCAAATTTTGACCTAAAGTTCAAATCCTGATCCCGTAGATTTTATACCGGTTATAACGCTAATTAATAAATTTTTTTTGTTTCATTGGTTTAATGTTCTTCCGTTTCACAATTTTTAAATCAATCTGATTTTGAAGAAGTTTCACGTCAAAAAAGCCACAGCAACGCGTGGCCGGGGCACCCTAGTTGCTGATTTAAAACATCAAATGTCTCGTAAACTATTGATATTTCGATGGCCTTCATTTAATACTTTTTAACGCATAATGAAAAACGGAATCGAATAGTGTAAAAAAAAAATATAAAGTACTACTTAAAAAAAAAGTGCAACTCCATCTAGTGGGTGCATCGATGCATTTAAAAAAAAAGTAATGTCATAGAAAGTTGACATTTATTGTGTTATATTACTTTTTTGTTTATGATTTTTTTCTATTGTTACTTAAAAAAAAGTTACTTCCCGTCCCCGTTAAAAGAATCACCCTGTAAACAGGGTGATACATTTACTCTTGCCTCCTAAATAGCTTCGAAAGTATGATAGTAGCAGAAAATTTTATTAAAAAAGAGTTGCATAAGAAATTGAAGGCTATACATTATGTTAGTTTTACTTTGCTAAGTTCACTATCTTGTAAAGTTTTTAGGTCAACTATGTTTTCTCAAATACAATGCTAAATTGTAATACTTATTTTCTTACAGTGGCTTCAAAACAATCCAACGATGTGCCATATTAAATAAGAAACCTGTGAATGATCAATAAAAACTATTCAAAAATTATCTGTTTCGACCGTTGTTTCACGTAAATCATCCTGCATATACGTTTCTTTTAGTTTAAAAGCTGAGAAATTTTATTAATCTGAGAACTTCCTTAGAATTTGTGTGATTTAGAAATCGTGTTACGGAAATACGTAAATCGATGAAACAGTCATATTTCATAAAGTGAAACAATTATTAAAAGGAGACAAACGTATACATCTATCGGATTAAGCTTTCGAGAGAATTGGATAAAAGACCTTAAACGTTTATTTCTTATTATTTCAGCATACTCATTATGAGGTGTCTCGTAATCTTGCCTCTCCACTCTTGTGTATTAAGCTGTGTCTAATACAATGTTTACTTGCTTATGTCTGCATATTGCTTTCATACTAATTGATCTGGTCCGAGTATTCTAAAATCTTAGGTGTGTAGGTTCTGAGTAATCATTGTGTGTGCCTGTACGTGTTCCGTGCATTCCACGTGTGTATTTGTACGTAACTATATTTTAACGAGTGTTAGTATTTAATTTTTTTTTTAATTGAAAGCTTTTTTAGAAAGCGTGATTTGGAGTCAGATGAATCTAACAAGCAACAGGTAGCCATAAAAAGAAATGTAATAGATAGCGATAAGCTAAATAAGCAGACTCGATTGAATAAAATATAAATGAAAAAGCAACGTTTCTCAAAAACAAAAAAATACAAACACATAGACTTCTATAGCATTCATACTGCAAGAAAATAAGATCAAATATCGTATGAGGTTTTTCCTATTTTTGGTCTCTTTGTACAGTGCTTCGTTATCCCCAATTCTATCTGCTAAGCATTGTACATTTGTGTGCTTGTATGCGACCGTATATTATGAAGCGTAGACTCATCTTACTTAAATTCAAACACTTCAAAAAAGAGGTTCGTTTTTTAATGCTTTCCGAAACCCTTAGGTTAGGACGGGGTATCTTCCGTCAAAACATCTTATGATTTTTGTTTTTACCTATGGTTATTGAATTCGGTATCACAATTTGATTGCTAGAATCTTTAAAGTAGTAGTTTTTTTTAGCTTCCCCTTATTTTAAGACCATTCCAGTACTCTTTGTTATAAATTGTTTGTACACAGATTTCTCTAAAATGGAATCTTCTTGTGATTAAAATTTGTTAATTATTAAAAAAGTAGAATGTTATCTTAAGATGAGAAATAAAACTCGTTGTTTAACTAAAAAAGATTTAATACTTTATTGATTCCTCAGAAAAAAAGAATTTCGTCATAAAAAAACCCTGCGGTTTTTGGTTACAATGCTTAAGGCATTTAATCGAAGATTGGACACGTGAATAACGGGGAGTTTACTTCATTTTATATAAATACCATGAAAGAATTTAAACTCTACCCTCCTTGATTGTATGTGTATACAATGAATGGATCTCGTCAGTGTTGCAGGGGATTACCGTCTTGGAAATGTATAGATTTCCAGTAAACTTCGCTTCCATATCACCGTCTTTGTATGCTATTTTTAGGTCTTTCGTTACTAAAGAAATAGCGCCTAAAGCTTTCAGTAGAGGAACAAAAAGAGTGATTATTCTGGAAAGTCCCACAAACCGTCGTATACCCGTGTGTAGTAGGCGATACGAGTTGTAGGAGTATGATTTATACACTGGTACTCTTATTAGGATTAATAAGTTTAAAACGCATTGTATGAATATGATTTAGTTGCCTACAATCAATTCTTATCGTATCCTTATGGTACAAATATTAAATTAAAACAACCTAAGTATTATCTTACTCCTCATGTACTGAATTTTGCTCATTCTCTCGATGCTTTTTTTTAAGGGTTTTACTTCTAATGTGTTGTGACCTTTACAAACCAATTTGAATAATTCAGGATTTACTTTGATTTTAATAGCAATAATATCGTTAAAAATTTTGTCTACAAATAAAATATAACAATCAAACTCTTAAAAAATATTGTCTTGTTTTTCATTTTAAATATTTATTATGAGTTTAAAATAACTTCTTTCTTTTTTTATGATTACAGGCATTTATTTTAACTAATGTAATGAGGCCATTAAGATGGAATAGACGATTACTAAAATATGTGGGAGTCTGGCCATTAGAGATATCTAATTCTCATTTTCTCTTTTTTTTTTGTTTATCTTCTTCTCCACTGTTCTTTAACATTTGCTGATTTGGCTAATCATAAAAATGATTTTGATGAAATTATCAGCAATTTCACCGAAAATGTTTTATTTTTAATGACACTCACAAAAATAACTTTTTGTCGAATAAATGGACAATCTATGAGACAACTTCTTATAGAAATTAAATTGAATTTTATCATTAATAAGTACAATTCCTTAGAACAGAAATCAATATTAATGAAATATACAAAACTAGCCAGATACTATATAATAATATCAGTTACGTCGATGACTGTTGCTGTTATATTATATTATGTTGGTGGAATGATTCCTAATATACAAATTGGTAAGTAATTGATTAATTCTTATTACGAGAAATACTATAAAATATAGCATATATTGAAAAAGATAATGTTTAAGGTGACTGATTGAAAAAATGCTACAGTACGACCAAAGAATTTTAGTACATTTATAAAACTTTCTTTAGCTTGCCATATCAAACTTGATCAAATTTATGTCCATATATTGAAATCGGGAGGAAAATCTAGATTCAGATCAAATATTCTGGAAATATGCAAAGACATATTTGTGTGAGAATTAATATTTGGCCAAACTTCTTCTAATCGTTTATCCTAAATTGCCCATTTCTAGAATATTCATTGTGTTCTCGTCTCTGATTTCTTAAATTTTGTCGTAGTTTTTTTCACTAAATTTAAAATCGCTTTTTTCTTTTAAATGAACATAATATAGTTGGACTAACAAGAATATTTATACCTACGTAAAATATTTATTCAGTAATTTGTAATTTATTAACTTTTTGAATACTATAATGCCTTTAAGATTATTGCTTGAATTTTTGTGATACTTATTTCGTTATAAAAATTCTAAAAATTCATTTTTTTTATTAAAGTAATTTTTTAATAAAAAAATTACCAATTTAAGTGTTTAACAATGCTTATTTATTGTTATTTAAATATTGAATAATGTTTTTAATTAAAAATAGGACGAAACTCATGAGACTTACTATATATACATTATACTCGTTACAGCATTTATGAATTCATCCTTGACTTACAAACTACCATACAAAACACGAGCCATTATAGATATAGAAGACACTAGAATCTATTTTTGCATCTGCCTCTACCAGATGTTAATAATACCGACTGTTGTATTTGGTTACGTCGGATTCGACTGCTTATTCACTAACTTGGCCTTTAATATTACGGCCCAATTTGGAGTTCTCAGCTACAAGATTAAAGACATTCTCGATGATTATAAAGGTTCAAAATTTATTATCGAGAAAATAGTATTTCTTCATTATAGGTTAATAAGGTAACACTAATATGTGATTTTGTAATAAAAATATTTTTTCTGTTACAAGGTAGTAGTTGTTACGTCCTAGACCATTTTTTTTTTTTTGAAGTAAAAACTTCTTTAGCATACGAGTAAATTAAAAAACATGTGTGCAGATCACACGTGTTAGAAGTGAAACCTTAAAAAAATTAAGTTTTGTGAGAATGAGACGAATGCACAGTATCAACAGTACGATAATTGCAGTATTTATTTATTTTAAAATTATTATCATATATAACAAAAGACACCGGTATGATAAGTAGATGGAATAGCAGATAAAAACTAAACTTTTTCCAATAAAAGCAATAAAAATGGAATACTGAATGCGATAGTCGTAGATAGACACCAAAATCGTAGGATGTTTATTGAAAGAAAAATA